CTAGAGACAGATCTCCCTGTAGCCCCAGCTAGCCTGGAACTCACAATGTAGACTGGGCTGGCCTTGAATGGACAGAAATCCACCTTCCTCTGTCTCCCACGTGCTGGGACTAAAGGTGTGCGCCACAACAGGCTTTGTTTGTTGCTGTTTTAAGATGGGGCTAGAGAGATGGCTCAGTGGTTAAGAACACTGGTTGTTCTTGCAGAAGACCCAGATTCAAATCCCAGCACCCACATGGCACCCACATTTCCAGCATGTGCCACCACATGTGGCTTTTGTGGGAAGTCTGGACCTGACTTCTGAGGGGGAGCAGAAAGGAAGGAAACATGTTGGAATTCAGGTTTGCACTCATTTAGATGCTGCCCATGATCTCCTTAGAAAGAGTAAGAACTCTGTGGGCCAAAGCTTTCTGGCTCAGATGTCAGGATAACTTGGCGAGCTTAGAGTTAGAGGAAGCATTGTTGTGAGAACTTCCAATCCTCCTGAAGCAGCAGAATCTGGTCTTTTATGCACAAAGGGTGCCCATCAGACCTCTCTCTAAAGCCTAGAAAGCAGGAATCAAGTGTGGTCAGCTTTAAGACACACTGTGGAGTACAGGTAGAGATGACACTCTGTGATAGGGGCCTGAAAGCTGGTGTCCCTGGCCTTAGCTATCATATCTAGCCTTATGCATTTAAGACCAGGGCCTGTAATCAGGTCTGTTACCTGAGGGTTCAAGTAATCACAGCCATCAGCTCTTCTTTTGAAATGCGAGGTCCTTATCTTTTGACTGTTGCTTTCCTTCTAGGCCACTAGACCCAATCTTTATTTATGTATGTACTTTCCCAGCTCTTGCCCTGGGTAGTCTGGGCCACATACTGATATCCTGCATCAATAAACAACAGAACAACCTCCCCAGAGAGATTCCAGCAAGGGATACACAGTGAAACTATCTTTTTTTAAAAAAAAAGTACTCTGCAGGCACACGCCTTCAATCCCAGCACTTGAGAGGCAAAGGCAGGAGGATCTTTGTGAGTTCAAGGCCAGCCTTTTCTACATAATGAGTTCCAGGCCAGCTGGGAGTACAGAAAGACCCTGTCTCTAAATAAATAAATTAATTAATTAATTAATTAATTAATTAAATAAACAAACAACTCCACTATCTAAAGCCTTGATGCTATTACCTCTAAGGAAGCACAGAGGTTCAAATCAGAACTGGGATTATGAAACTAAGGTGAGGTTCTAGGAGGTAATGCCCAGGCAGAGCTTCCCTTGCAGCCTAAGGTAAAGTAAAAGGTTAGAAGAAGAAACCCCAGGGCTGGGGATTTAGCTCAGTGGTATAGTATTTACTTAGTATACTTGAAGCCCTAGGTTCGATTCCCAGTACCAACCCCCATAACACACACACACACACACACACACACACACACACACACACACACACATATCCAAAGATTGGAAACTCCATTCTGATATCACCTGGGATTAAACTCCAGAGCTGCCTTCCCCTCCTCACCCTGAGGCACTTATCCCCTAGGAACTTCAGGTCTGGGACCCTCCACTTTCCTGCCCCAGTCACAGAAGGGAACAACTCTATCTCACTGAGAAATTTCTCAGTGACTATGCAAGCATATGTATTAGCCTATGAGATGTGAAGAAGTGGCCAGTGTCTTAGTACTGGGCAGTAAGAGGAGAGAGGAAGACATGGAGATGGAATGGACCAAGAGGTGGGGGACAGGCAGGGTGCAGGGGTTTGGGTAAAAGTAGGTGTGATGGTGACTGACCAATATGGGGTTGGGAAGATAGCAGGTTGGTTCAGCTATCGACCACAACACTCTGACACCACAGGTCCAACTCAGGCACCAGAAGATCTCTCCTCAAGATATTTCTACCCCAGTTATCAGGCCCAGGCCTCTTGTGAGATCCAGATTTCAAGTCTACCTAGCCCATCATTGCTTTTTACCTTTAAAAATTCTTTAAATTTTGTGTTTAAGATTCATTTATTTTTATTATACGTGTATGAGTGTTTTTACCTGCATGTTTGTAAGTGTACCAGGAGTATGCAATGCCTGTAGAGGCAAAAACAGGGCATCAGGTCTGTAACTGGAGTTACAGTTGGTTGTGAGCCACCATGTGGGTACTGGGAACCAAACTCGGGTCTTATGTAAGAGCAGCAAATGCTCTTAACTGCTGAGCCATCTCCCCAGTTCCCTCCATCACTGGTTTTGACCACACTACAGTTGGGTAAACTCAAGGAGTATAAGGGTGACAATCCTGTGAGGAATGGGTACGTTTGTGATGGGTGATGGCCCAGCCTAGGATAAGACAACCCAGCCACGTCAGTCCATGTCTGCTGACCAGAAGTTGAAGAAGTTCCATCTGTGCCAACCTCTACTGGAGAGAACACACAAGGGCTTCAAGAAATATTTGAAGATAAGTGCTCAGCTCAGCACATGTTAAATCAGGGTAGGGCGGTGGGAGTGGGTGAGTAATGGTTGAACAGCTGAGCTCTAAGAACAGAGAAGAGAACAGAGTTGGGGCACAGTTGAGGGGGAGCTGTTAAGAGGATAGAAAAACTAGTAGAGAGTCAGAGAGTTACCAAGACCTGAGAGGGCATGGGCCATGCACCAGCTGTGAGGACAGCCCATCCTGGGAATGGTCACCAAGGTCAGGTCTCCTCTGGGCTTGTGTACTGTACCTGCTTCTGAATTCATATTATCACAAAGCAAATGATGGACTATAGAAGTTATTAGTCTTTCCAGGAGAGAACAACCCATCACCTGACAGAACCCAGTATGTAAGCGTTAGCTGTACATAGGAAAACATTGAACTTCACAAACAAACATTCAGGATTTGAATGCTCCCAGAAAGAGGCCAGTGGACGCCATTTTACAGAAAGTTACCAAGTTGATTTCACCTGCTTTGAAAATTAATTCTGTGTGTACATGTTGCCAGTGAATCTGAAGGCCAGAGATTGACATAAAGCCCAGTGATCCTTTAGCCTTCACCTCCTAGGGCTGAAGTCACAGACCTTCTGCAGCATCTAGCTTTTTTGGGTGCTGGGGATCTGAACTCAAGACCTCATGCTGGAATGGCTAGCACTTTATCAATTAAGCTATCTGCCTAGTTCTTCCTTCCTTCTATCTTTCTTTCCTTTTCCCCTCCCTCCCTTCCTTTCTTTCCTTCTATTTTTTTGAGACAGTCTCTCTCTCT